TATATGTATATAATATGTGTGTGTGTGTGTGTATTTGTTAAAAATCAACAAGCTGGGTTTTTTCTCACTAATACTGTATTTCACCATGACAGAAGTGACAAACTGAGTCCCTAAACATCCTCTGAGTGACAACAGATTGCAATATTCTTTGTTTAAAGTGTTGGTGTTCAAGGTGGCAGGTGATATTCATTCTGTCAAAGAAAGCTACTTTTATTTTAAATGCATAAAAAATGCATTTAGTTTTACAACTTTGGTATATCAGGACGTATACAATAAGAAATGTAGGAAACAAAATTATTATTGAAACAAACAAATTACAAAAGATCAAAATGATCATATTACATTGTGAATGCTTCGACAGAACGTCTACCTGCTTCAGGTTTGTGTAAAACTTAAGAATGAAAAATGTTCTGTGTTCTCAGAAAAAAGGAAAACACCCAAGTCAACAAAGCATTTTAATATGAAACACGCCTTTAGTTTCTGGTAGGACTGCCTAGGATTAGCACAACCCTTAGCACGTCATGTTATGTGTGTGTGTGGGGGTGTGGGGTGGTCTAATTTGTATGTTCAAAATAAAAAAAAATCAATAAAAAGTTTTAGATTTATAAAATAAAATAAATCTCTCCCGGAGGTGTAAGTTGAAGATCTCTCTGACGGTTCTTCTGCCAGGCAGCAAACCCTCACTACACGTTTGGGTCTACCAGGTCTGTCCAGAATCTTCCCCCACCATTTGATCCAACTCACTACCAGGTGGTGATCAGTTGACAGCTCAGCTCCTCTCTTCACCTGAGTGTCCAAAACAAACGGCTGCATATCAGATGACACTACTACAAAGTCAATCATCGATCTACAACCTAGGTCCACCTGGTGCCAAGTGCACTTATGGACACCCTTATGTTCAAACATGGTGTTTGATGGACAAACTATGACTAGCACAGAAGTCCAACAACAGAACACCACTCGGGTTCAGATCAGAGAGGCTGATCCTACCAATCACGCCCCTCCAGGTCAGACTGTCATTACCCACGTGGGCATTGAAGTCCCCCAGCAGAATAAAGGAGTCCCCAGCTGGCGCACCTTTCAACACCCCAGTCAAGGACTCCCAACAAGACTCCCAACAAGGCCGGATACTCTGAACTGCCATTTGGCGCATAGACACAAACAACAGTCAGAGCCCATCCCCCCCACCCGAAGGCGCAGGGAAACCACCCTCTCAAACACCCTCTCATCCACCCTCTCATCCACCCTCTCATCTACCAGGGAAAACTCCAACCCATAGGCACCAAGTTGGGGAGTTAAGAGTAGACCTATCCTGATGCATGCTCAATAATCCAGGTAGAAAAATCCAAAAAAAAGTTCAATCTGGTCCTCTGGACATTCAAAAAAACAAAAAACAAAACAAAGCAAAAAAATCTAGAAACATTTCATCTCTCATCCAAGAGACTTCCTCAGTCTGAGGTGCTGTTTTCAGCTCAGTCTCTTAAATAGCACCTTCTCAGAGTGGATCAACCAGTTTGCTGCTGACAACCAAAACCAGCTGATCACATGCTCAAGAAGGACCATCAGCCTAACAATGGGTCATTAGCACACTGATGGCTGTTTACTACTCACAGAGGGCTGAGTGATACTAGCAATCACAGCATTGTAAGAGGGGGACAGTTGAACACGTAGGCCTCCACCCCTGTTTAATGATGGACGATTTATTTTCACAAAGATGGCCTCCTTTACTCCTCTCTCAAACCATCGTTCCTCTCTGTCCAGGATGTGAACATCTTCATCCTTGAAAGAGTGACCGCTGGCCTGGAGAAGAGTGTAGACCGCAGAATCCTGGCCTGATGATGTTGATCTTCTGTGCTGGGCCATCCTTTTGGCCAGTGGCTGTTTTGTTTCCCCTATGTAAGACTGATCACAGCCCTCCTGACACTGAACAGCATACACAACATTACTCTGTTTGTGCCGGGGGACTGGATCTTTGGGATGAACCAGTCTTTGCCGTAATGTATTTTGGGGTTTAAACCCACTGGGACGTTATGTTTAGAAAATAAACGTCTCAGTTTCTCTGATACCCCCTCAACATACGGAATGACCACTGGTCTGGGTTCCTCCTTTTCACCTGATGGCTGACTGGAGTCCTGTTTGGGTTTCTTCTCTGCTTTCAGGAAGGCCCAGTTAGGATATCCACATTGCTCTAGAGCCTGTTTTGTGTAGGATTTCTCCTTCTGCCTGGTTCCCAAGCTAGTGGGGATGCTGTCTGCTCTGTGATACAGAGTCCTGATGACTCCTAACTTGTGCTCCAAAGGGTGATGGGAGTCAAACTGC